AGAAATCATTCCTAAAATTTATTTGGAACCAGAAAATACCTAGAATAGCAAAGGCAATCCTGGGCAATAAAGACAAGGTGGAGACATTAAAATTGCTGACTTGAATTTATACTACAAGACTCCTGTGATAAAATCAGCATGGTACTCGCAACGAAATAGACCTGAGGATCAATGGAATACATTACAAGACGCTGAAGCCCCTACAAACATACTCAGCCACCTTATCTTTGACAAAGGGGTGAAACATACTCACTGCAAGAAAGATAGCCTCTTTAACAAATGGTTTTGGAAAAACTGGCTCTCTGAATGCCAAAAACTAAAACTTGCCCCAGGTCCATCACCATGCACTAAGCTAAAGTCAAAATGGATTAAAGATCTAAACATTAAAGCAGAGACACTAAATCTCCTGGAAGAGGAAGTAGGTGGAACTCTTTAAGACACAGGGGTAGGTAAAGAGTTTATGAACAAAAATTAAATCGCACAGGAAACACTTGAAAGAATTAACAACTGGGACTTGCTCTTATTGAGAAGTTTTTGCACATCAAAAGAAATTACCAACAAAGTGAAAAGGCAACCCACAAATTTGGAAAAAAATCATGACGAATAAGTACTCAGACAAAGGTCTGCTCTCTAGAATTTATAAAGAACTAAAAAACACTAGTGCCCCAAAATTTAGAGGCCCAGTCTGAAATGGGCATCCGAGATGAACACACGCTTCTCAGAGGATGAAATTAAAGAAGTGAATAAATATATGAAAAAATGCTCCACATCACTAGCCATCCGTGAAATGCAAATTAAAATAATTTGACATATCATCTCACCAAAGAAAGGATGGTATCATAAAGAAATCAATCAACAACAAATGTTGGAGAGGCTGTGGGGAAAAAGGAACCCTTCTCCAATGCTGGTAGGAATGTAGACTGGTGCAACCATTATGGAAATCAGTGTGGAGGCTCCTTAGAAAACTTGGATGGGAAATCCCATTTAAACCAGCTATTTCTCTACTGGATATTTTCTGAGAGGATCTGAAAACATCATATCATAATGATATATGTGTACCTATGTTGATAGCAGCACAATTTGTAATAGCCAAATCTTGCAAACAACCAAGATGCCCATCACCTGAGGAATGGATAGAAAAGATGTGGTGTTTTTATACAGTGGAGTATTACTCAGCTATAAAGAATGATAAACTCAAAGCCTATTTATTGAAGTGGATGCCACTTGA